AATGCGAAATTATTATTTAAAATGCGTCTCTTGATCGTACTTATCATGAACGAATCATTATTACTTTTCTGCAGTGCGATTGGCTGCCTCAACAGCTTCTATTGCAAGCGCAACGACGAAAGAACACCGAATGCATGTACAACAGACAGCGAAAATAGGAGGGAATGCAATTTTGCAAATGCTAAATGAAAGAGTTTGCTGACAGCGGATGCAGCAAAAATTGAAAATTGAAAACTCTACAAAATGTGTGTGTTTTTTTTTTCTTTTCCATTATTACTGTTTGGTCAGCAGAAAAAAAACGGCACTTCAGATCGGGGCCAAAACCTCAAAGCGTTCGTTCGTAGATAATAGCATGGGTTAGTCGTTGTCGTGAGCTTTGGTGAGTGAGCACTATTGAATTTTGTATTACTGTTTTTTTTTCTTTTGCTCCGTGTTCTTCAAATCGAAATGGGAGTTTCTGTTAATCCATTTGATGTTTCGAATTGCCATTGCATGCAAACGGCTTATCAAGCTTTCGTTATTTGTATGTCATTGAACAGATGAGCACTCACCAATTCACATTAAATCAGATGATATACCTTTGATTTAAGCTTGCATTTTTTGACGTTTTTCATTTAAACTTTCATTACTGCTACGTCGTATCTCTTTTATTGTTGTTGTTTTCTTCGGCCCTACACTTGTACCGCTCCAAAAAAAACACACAAATCGAGTACGAGTGCACATGAAATAGATGTAAAACAAATGCATTTATTGGTTGAGAATAAAAATGGGATTTGGTGATATCGCACCGAAGAATTCAGGATTTTTGTAACCTTCTGATGAATAGAGCCGTTTTTGGCACCCCTGTCCGGCACTCAGTAATAGTCGAATAGCCTGAATTACAAGAAAGATCAAGCACTTACAAGAACAGATCTTGCACCTTCGCGGTGCTCATACCAGCTCTGCTGATGGAAGATTTTTAAGAAGTGTCTTCGCAAAGTTTCGGATCATCTAACTTTTATCATGATTCATGAAGTTACAGAGGTACCACTTATTCCCACTTCTATTCTCAGTCCATCAGTTGTGATATTGAGAAGCATCGAAGACATACACAAACAAATCCACTTTGTGTATTATTTTTTCTAAAAAATTATCGAAATGAAAATTTTCTGCTGTATTTGCAGTAATTTAATGATCTATTTATGATAGAATGCAATGATGCACTGAATGTCATGCATTTACGTTTGTTGAACTAGTCGAAATTCGTTCATTTTTATTTGGAAAACTACTTGTGCACAATACGGTTTCGATTTTTCTCGTCTTTTTTTGGGAATTTTACTTCTTTTTTTCTCGTTATTTTTCGAACGGGTTAAAGTAAAACGATTTACCAAATTTATACGCTCATTTTGCAATCAGTGTTTGATTGCTTTCAATACAGACATTTTATGTTCGGCATTTAGCTGTTTAAAATATATGGAAAACAGCATAAAAACATCATACAAATGATGCAAATAATAAACTCATCGCCTCGATATATGTGCGTATGTATATCGGTGTTATTGTTTTTATCTCCCTCGCTCTGTCTCTCTCGCTGTTTCTGTTTTTCAAAATTGATTTGTGTCCTGGCGTTGCTGCTGTTGGTTTTATTGCATATTAGTTATTATGACATTTTGAGCACGTCATATGCTCCATATGCATTTTTATGTGCTCTTTGTTTTATTGAAAGCAATTTACGAGCCCGACTGCTTTGTGTAACTGCTTTGAGTGCGTGCGCGCTAACCAGTCAGCCGCACCACTCTGAGTGCTGGCGACCTAAAAGAATTAAGTTATTACTTGTGCATTTCGTCGCTAAACAGATTTCACTGCGGCGTTGCGCGATACATGTGTGTGTGTGTGTCGGTAAAAATGATTTTCCATTCGGTAGGCTGTTAACTGATTTTATGTATCAATTTAATCTGTTGACAGAGTCATATTTTCGTTGTTTTTGAATAACACCCAATTTATTATTTTTGTTGTTTTTCGAGTAAATTTTGTGTGAGTTGATTTCGTGATTTCACTTTGATTAAATGGCACAAATGAAAAAGACGATGAAGCAAACGAATAATAAGTATTATAAAAGAAGAGTCGTGAATAAATCGTATTCAACACGTTTATTTATTCATAAACGTAGGACAATTCGTATATATAATTGAAATTTTATTACCCAGAATGGTAAATGATGCAATATTTCGTTCGCATTGAAGAGGATTGTAAAAAATAAACCAGCGTATAAACAATATGTAAGAGAAGAAATCGCGGTGATTGTATTTAAACGCCCACAATTTAAATGAATACTTTTGCTTGTTATTTCTTGCAATTGCACATTTTATTTACCGTGTTACATTCGAAGAAGGAACGGCTCATGATGGGCTTCATGTGCGCACAATGTGAAAAAAGGAAGAACACCACGCGCCCGCTTGTGTGTGTATGTATGCCACAGATGAGTTTATAACTTATTTGCACAATAAAATGCAGCATAGAAAATGCGAAACGAAACGAAATGCATACAAATAAGAACAACAAACGAAGAATAAAATTAAACGACGTAAAAGATGACAGAATGCATTCGCTATACAAAACGAATGTTAATGTTGCCGGCGAATTGGTTCTTCGAAATGGATAAATCGAAGAAAGAGCAAAAAAAAGAGAGGGAAAGAGTAAAGAATTGTGTGCATCGAAAGCTGCATGCCTATTTGAGCGAACATGTACCTCGCCTTATTTTGGGCACTCGCAGAACACGTTATTATTATTCTTGCTTGATTGAAATTGGTTTAAATTTTCCATTCTCGCCAACTCTGTTTTTTTTTTTTGTTCGTTCGTTCATTCGTTTACTCATTATTATAATGCTATTATTTTTGTGCGGTTGTGTGTACATTGTGCACCGTGAAAAGGTGACTGTAAGTGCGAATCGTTGCGGATGAGACGGCAACGACGCAAATCCAAAAGCATCTACGCTGGCACAAAAGTCAAAATTGAAATGAACCTATAAAGTGCAGAATACACTACGGCCATGCTATTACACATTTAAATAGAATTTTACGGTTGAATCGAGCGAAATGGAAATTTTCACGAAATGCGTGAGCGTTTTTTTGGTGTTCTTGTTTACTTCTTCGGTGCAGAAATTCACTCGCCTGCTTCATAAACTTTTGTGCAATGCACTTACGAATTTTGTTTGTTGTTGGTTTTTCTTTCGTTTTTTTCTTCCGCAATCACATTTTGTATCACTTTATTTTCTGGTGCGTTGCTGTTAAGTATGTTGTGTGTGTGTGTGCTCGGTGCATGCGTGTGGTTCATTTTAGTTTTCAATTGCACTTCTACGTATGTCAACTTCATGCAAATATTTATATCTGTTGAGATACCAAACTTGGAAGTTTTTGCACAGATGCACACACGATGATCACGAGGGCTGGCGTGCGCGACGGCCTGTTGTAAAACTAACAACAATATTTCTACTCGGTAAATACAAAATGAAAATTCTCTTCTTTTTTTACTCTTGTGGTTATGATTATATACGGAAATTATCAAACATTTGTTCATGTACCCATTTTTTTGTTGTTGTTCCGCCACTACATTTTCGCTGTGCAAACGACGTGAACCGGGTGCGGTGCTGTTGCCGTTTTTAGATGGCAGTCGGGCTCGACTCTTTAGCCAAATATGTGCATCACATATGCATGCCTCTTTGCATCATTTGCGCGGAATAATATTCATGGCCATTTACATTTACAATTCGAATTCACATTTCACAACAAGGCCGCGTGATACACGTGAATGCGAACGAAAGAGAGAATAACAAAAAGCAGGCGCACACAACGAGGGGCTTTTTTGAAAAAAAAAGATGTTTTATGCTCTTTTCTATGCGGAAGGTCATCATTGTTGCCATCTTTCGACAAAACTAGCTCGCCGAGCACTTCTAGATACTCCCATGAGAATGAAATTGGGAGCCGAACAAGGGGACAGAGAGAGAACGATAGAAAGAGAGAAAATGCGCGCACAAATAGCAGCTGAAAAATAATTAAAAACCAAATTTGGATTGCACAAGCACAAAATCAAGAGCCAAACATACAAACACTGGAAAAAACACACATCATACAATTGCATAAAGATATACAGAAAATTGTGAACAACAGTAGTCGCTTGTGTATATCACTTGAAGCAAAGTAAAACATTAATAAGTTCCATGTATGGTAATTCGCGATCATTTTTATTTTATTTTATTGAAATGTTGGCTTTCTAGCCCAACCAAGCTCATTCACTATTCTACATTTAATGCGTGCATCATACCACACAAAAAAAAAAACAAGACAAGACAACCGAACCACAACGACGACCATACACAAGTTGCACAGACAATAACAATTCTATATAACGCGCACGCAATTATAAGTAATTTAAATGATGCCAACTTGATTTATGTTAAACAATCTGTTTCACTGGAATCACTAAAATGCCAGGCAAAATGTGCAGTAATAATGTTGACCAAAAAATCACTTTGGCAAACCGTTTTCTTTTAGCTCTAACTAATTGAAAGAAATGAAAAAAGACCGACCGAACTTGAAACGAGTCTAGCTAAAACTAACCATTCAAATATGGAATGATAAAAAAGCACAATTAATTGTGTGAAATGGATAATTCAATTGGATTGATATATCGCATTGAAATTTCCAATCAATAATTTGTATGCACTTATTAAGATAATTCAAATCCAGGTATATATTTTTAGTCCAACAAACGCTTTAAGCAAAATTCTATAAATGAATAAAAGCGGCTTTGTTTTCGTGCTCAAACACAAGGTTTCTTTGGTAAAAAAAACTACACGACAACTACTTTAGAAGGATAGTACAAAGTGAACTGTTTTATTTACCAAAAACATTGAAAATACAAATGAATGTATACTTTGAAATTTTGTAAAAAAGCTACAAATTAGAAAATGATGCTGATGTTATTAAAAAGGAATAATAAGCCCTACATGACCGTCAATTATTGGCTCATATCATATCTGGGACGCTAAATTTATTCTGGCAGTTATCATTCGCATTCGCCTTCACTACCACAACGTAACCTGCATTCATCACTCTCAAAACACTGAAAACAATATGGATTAATAGGGTTGTCGCAAACTGATCTGTAATTACTAATCTGACAAAACTGTGAACAGCACTCACTATGTTCAAAACACTGAAAATAACAAAAATAAAATTCAAAATATTGTTGAATGAATAAAAATAAAATTAAACAAAACAATACATTCAAAGATTGAACATTTACCTTAAATAGGAATGGCTTACACGTGGGACCACCATATATAACAGTCACCATCCAAATGGAGATGATTGCCAAAACAAAAATCAAATATTTCGCCATTTTTATTCTTCTAAATTATTGAGTTAATTAATTATATTGGAAATTAATTTGAATTAATGGCGACTCAGCACTTCAATTCACTCTCAAACCGAAATGTATCTTCAATAAATTTTAATACTTTTGTTCAATTTTCAAATCATAAGACTATTTGACGTTTGTAGACAGCACTATGACATTCCGAAATACAAAATGAAACTAAGCTAAAATGAGCAATGTTAGAGGGTCTTAAATACAATATTTTTAACTCAACATACTTGTTTTTGATAGTATACCTACTTGAAATTGTATTCGATCAAAAAAAATTATTTACAATTCTACCCCCAAGACTGTAAGCGGTCAAAGTTTAAATGAATGGAAGATAAGAAGACAAAAGTCCACACTACAAATCAAACTACAATTAGACAATTGTTATTACAGACTGATGATCCGAAAGACGCCGTTGAGTCGATTCTATGCCATTCAAATATGGAATGGGCTATCAAAATTCAAAATATAAGAACAAAAACCTTCGATTTCATAAAATTAAATGTGAATACATCTAAAAATAATTCCACGGTAAATAAAAAAGTGTAAAAATAATAATTTTTACAAAAATCGTTTTAAAATTTTATTAAAAAAGCCATAAAAACTCCGAAAAACTGTTCGAAGAACCCACAAAAATTTTCTTAATATTAATAAGAAACTCGTCATAAAACTTACAAAAATGAGCATACAATTTACAAACAACGGCAAAAAAGTAGCATATTCCAAAAAAGTATAAAACGTAAAAGAATAGTAAAATTTGCAAATTTGCTAAAAAAAAGTTGGTCATCCGATTTCTATTCGTTATTAAATTTTCTTCTGCGTTAATCAGGCTCGGAGACAATTTTTCGCGAATTTCAATTTATTTTCAGCTTTGCTGTGTGTGTGTTTTTTTTAATTCACCGTCAGAAGTGAGATGATTTACCTTATTTGTCTGCATCGTGTATTGAAAAATATAGTCAATAAATTGAAGCGCACAATCTACGTGAAACGCACATTTCATTTGGTAAACCGGCACAAAATTGTGAACGAAATCCATCGAAAATGGGTATTTTTTGGCATACACTCACATGCACGCACATTCGCAACCGAATCAATTTTTAGTCAAATTGCATTCTTGAGAATCTGAGCTCTGGCTGTTTTGTAAATTGACTGGTTAATAAACAAACCAAATAAAACGGCGTTGCTTTCTGAAATACAAGGAATTTAATTCAACTGAAAATGTGTTTTTTTTTTCGAATACGGTCAAATATAGATACGGATAGGACATCGATTGCCTAATTGTTTGGTTCGAATTTCAAGTTTGGCGTTAATGCACTTCCGTCGCCGACCATTTTCGAAATAAACGGTGAAACGCAGGCGTGCTGTGTGTACTTTTGAGGTTTGAACGGGCAAATTGAATACGCGTTTTTACAACAACAAAACCAAATGTTGTATTTCGGCTATTGTATGGCATTTTGTATACCAATCACCATATCTCTTCTATGTCTATCATTTTACCGTGTGTGTGTGTACGGTGTGTCGTCTGTACTGGGTCGATGGTCTCGGTACGTTCATCAAAAGCGTTGTGAAAATGCAAACAATCAAAAAGGAAAAACATTGATGTGGTTACCGGTGTTTACGATTATCACATGTGAATATATGCAGTCACTATCGCCCATTGTATGTTGTTATTTTATGTCGTTTGATCGACTAGAACATGAGCACATAAACCTCTGGCTTTTACTCTTTTCGATCGTATCATTTTTGTTGTTATTATTTCGTGTGTGTGTGAGTGTGTCGGGGTGTTTTTTGCATTTTGGTGTGTATTTTAGTGTTTTTGTTTGGCGTTGTCGCTGTTGCATCCTGACGGCCGCCGCATAATTTTGACATGTACCCTCATTGTGCATCGCTTTCTATGCGAAATATGAGAAAGAACAAGTTATTTGTGAGCGCCAGTGGTGTGTTGTGGTTATTGTCGAAACATTTTTGGCGAAAACACATTGAAATGTAGAAACAACACCACAGATAAATTATAGTTGTTAGAGTTTTGAAACTTTTCACCCCGTTTCAATGATGTGGCTGTTGAATTTTTGACTTTTCTTCTGTCTATATATAGTTTTTTTTTTGTTCAACATCTCTCGTCTTGCTCGTTTTTGGCAAATGCAAAGCAATGCAGAGATAACGCTTGACATTGTCGCCGTTTTGGATACATTCAGTATGGGTGTGTTTCAAAAACTGAATCCGATGCATTTTACGCTTTTATCCCTTTTGCAACCACCGCAGATGCCGCCGTTGTTCAGTTTTCAAGTTTAAATTAAATCATCAAATTCATGATAATACAAATTCGGCTACGCAATGTTTCGCCACAGTTTCATATCATCCTCTCACTCCACCTCCACCACCTCTCTTGAGTCGTTTCTTCACTATTTCTCTCTCTCCTCCACATACACACACGCAATCATGAAATATTAATTTGCACATTATGTAGTTTAGGACAGATGCAAACTGCTATATATATATATATTCAATGCTCTTTCGTATGCGTGCTCCACATTTCAAACGAAAATGCTCTAATAACACGTAAATCTAATCAAACCTCCCCAGATTTTGCATTTGAAGCACTTTTTAACTAAAATATATGCAATATCGCAACAATCATTCCATATGTTTTGTTCAAAAATTCCGGTACTATTCTTGAAACTGTCGATGGATAATTTTAGAATTCAAGTCGCAACCTTTGTATGTGTATGTGTGTGTATGTGTGTGTATTTGACGGGAATATTGAATTTTATAGTGGCTTTCATTTAACTGACTACATTTGTAATTGACATTGATGTGGATGTGGATGTAGATAACAAATTTAGCCTAATTGAGTAATTTAATAACAACACGCTGCCGTCAGACAGGTACGGTATACGTATCACGGTATGCACACAAGAAATTGATAGCATTTTTTTTGATGAATGCTGAATGACCCTTGTCGGCTGAGATAAGTCATGTAAAAGACTACATGAAATCGATTAAAATCATTTACGAACGCATGAGCGCCACAAGAGATGAAATCCGACATTTATTTAGACAATTTCTCATCCGAAACTGACGTAAGAAAGACAATATCCTGCTAATAGCAGCACTGCCATTACCAATACACATTCAACGGATTCGAACGAAGGATGGCAAAATAAAAACCATGGCCGCACAGTTCAGATGGAAGAGATTTTGGTATCGATGAAAAGAATTATTAATTAGCAACACATACTATGGCTTTTTGTCATTTATTCGTTGCGCACACATTCGGCTTTCACCTAAACAAAAATGTTGGTGAAAATTCTTTTGTTCGCCTGATATTCGTTCATATGTGTAACATCTTTGGCAACAAAATCATGACTAAAATAACTAATATCATAATATTGGCTCGAGCGCTATTCGATTCGCTCTGATTCGATTTCGCGTTGTGAAAAAACGAGAACAAAAACGAAAGAAATAAAGTCTCTCTCTGTGTGTCTCTAAAATACGATCAAAAAACATCGATAGCGAATTAAATGAAACATCACATTGGAACAGTCGAAGCGAATCGAACAACAATCACATAAGAGAAAATAAACGATTTGTATTCGAAACTTCAACTCTATCTCGCTCCCTGATCTCTGTCTCTTTCGCTATACATTTGGCTGCAATAAAATCAAGCACGCACACAAAGTTGCACGCAATATTCAACGATGGGACATGCACACGCACACACACATTTCGCTTTGGATGATTATATAGTAGTCTCAATTGGCACAAAGTGACGCACAAGCACACACACACACATTTTGTCTGTCTATATCTGGACTCTATCGGAATCGACTTTTATGGGTTTTCCGTTTCCCTTGATATTGACATATCCCAATGTTCTCTTTATCCCCATCGTACACACGATGGAAACGTTAATACGTTTATGTGCAACATTTTGCCAAACCATAGCCCCCACCATATATACATATAATCAACAATTCAAACTCGAAAATAGACAATAGCTATTAACTGTAGAGCTTAGCAGCGCATATATTATGGTCGGTGTGTATGTTGGGTTCCAGGGTCTACGATTGAGTTGAGACACCGAATTTTGCCGCTTTTGCCGAGGCCAATGGCACATCATACCAAATAGATACCAATACAACACAGAAAATAATAGAGATGATAAAAATGTTTTGGCGAATTCATCGGCAAGACTTGCCAAAAACGATGGCCCACGGAATGTAAACGCATCCAATAATGTAAACCAATCTAAACATATCGAATATATTGAAAATATAGACACAACCGATGATAATGTATTTTTCTCTTTCTCTCTCTCTCTCTCGCTCTCTCTTTCAACTTTCAACCGTTTCACCAAAGCTTGAACTCGATACACATTGTTTCAACTCGGTTTGTTGATACGTTCGTTCTTTGGATTTTTGCTACGTCTCGATGTCTGCATAAATTCGAAAAATGTTGTTATTATTGTTTATGCTGTTATACTTTGTGCAGCATCCCATACATTTTGCATACATCACAATCTATTTTGAATCTAATATGCTTTGGAGATGAGAGAGAAAAAATTATTATCTATTTTTATACATGCAGACGAAAGAAGAAAAAAAAAACAACAAGATAATTGCGCATTTCTCGAACTTTGTCTTATTAATTCTATTATATTGGTTATTGGAAATTTCACTGTCCCGTACTGTAATAAAAAAAAAGATCACAAGAAACTGTTTCAATGCCAAATAGTTCTCGACTCCATGAACTTTGATCTGAATCTAGAAGATTCTACGTGATTTTATCATTACAATACATTCGACCCAATTTTCCATTTATATCATTCGAATGGTGAAATGTCGACGACTTATACACCTGTATATCTCATCTTAACGTATCGCCACCGATGAACAGATGAACAAGTTTTCATCATACATTTTTTATAATATGACATTTTATAGTGCTGATAAAATGTTATGAGATCTTTTACAACGAAAAAGGGTTGGCGCATCATTTTGAAAATGATGGTTGTTCGTATTAAATTGATGCGAAGTTATTTCTAATTAATTCAATGTTTAAGTTGGGAAAATTCAATTGAATGGATTTTCACCGAACTTTTGACCGCGCAAAACTTTTGAACCAGCAGCAGTTTTGGGGGGCGAAGCCTCAAGCATCAGAAAAATATGCGTAGCACAGGCCAATGGCACAACCGAATTTCTATCAGAGAAATGAAAAGAAGATTGGTGCCAAATCAAAAATTATACAACATTTTATGGGAAAATCTTCATTTCACATAAAAACAGCAAAATCAACACCTGAAAAAAAAGAACACCTAATTTGGATTAATTTCATATAAAAGGCGAAATTCCCGTCTGAATTAAACGATTAACCGGAGGCTCAAAATTAATTTGCTTCGACATCGAGCTAATAATTGATTGCACTGGCATTTTGTGTAATCAAAACTGATACGAATTTTGTTCATGTTTAGTTCGAAAAGAGATGTCACACTATTTTTTTATGGAATTTTTGATGAAAGTTGATTTTCCCAAAATTCAATTAAAAAGGACTCATTTTTGATAATATTGAGTATAATATTATTTAAACTGGTTTTGACACGGTTAAAAATTCGTACAATTTTCCACACCGCAACAAAATTCTTCGATGAAAACACTGCAAATAGATGAATGGACATAATTGGATTAAAAGAATATTTGCTTAACTAAAAACACTCAAACTGTATTTATTTATTTATTTTTGTTAATCATACATCTAATGCGATCTATACTTTAACATTGTGACGTCGCAAATTTGGATTGTATTTATTAGACATGACAATGAAAAACTCGTGAATCCTATCCTTGTTCTTTGGAAATCTTCTAGCAAACAGAAAAGTAGCTAAATAATGAGGAAATTTATTTTCTTTTCGGCCATTTGATGGTATGTATTTGTTCACCTCTCCCCACATACGATTGAGATTCTGCGTGTGTGTGCGAGTATCTCGGCCGACGAAATTTGTGAAGCGATCGAAAGTCAGATGCTCAAATTCGTGTCTTAGGCCATCAAATTCACTTGAACGGTGGAACATTATCGTTGTGCCAGGTAAAAATCGAATTTTCCGTCTTATAATTTCCAAAAGTGGTTCTCTTCCCTCGCCCCCGACAGAACCATGATAATTATTATTGGCCCAGTGAAGAACAACTTCATTAATAATATTTTGCCAGCGTAAAACAGTATCTTTGGACCCTTAACGCAATAATTTTCGTAGTATTTGTTAATCCGTTCTTTGCATGTTCAAACGCCGATTTATCCCGAAAGGTTTTTTTGAAATTACATTCAATGAGTATGCCTTCTTTATTTCTTCTTCTATGCTTCTTCTATCTCCATTCGTCTCCACAAAACTTGGCCGGTTCATTACAAGTAACACGTCGTATTTCTGTGGCAATCGCTCCATGACTAATCAAAAATGCTCTCATTTTCTCTTCTGTCGATAATTCATTAACAAATTTAAGGTAAGAATTTGAGCACACTTTGCACTTATTGTTAGTTGTCATTCTGTAAATGGTAATTGAATATTTTTCTTGAGATAAGGCTGTCCAAATAGCAAACAATGGAAATTGCAATCGTTTGAGATGTAGTGAAAAGAGTTTTATGATTACTTACCTGTTTATGTAAAGTGAAGGGAGATAAGTATTGATTGTAGATCGTGGTGTTTCAGTTAAGGAATCCACGTGAACTTGAAATTCTGGCAGCCTAGTGTTAAAATATTCAGAAAGCAAAGTATCGATTATGTTTTGTGTTGTGAATGCAGGAATATACTTAAAACTAAGGAATCCAAAAAATTTATCAGAAAAGAACTAGTCGGTTAAATATGGAAACATAAATCTGCATGGAATTTGCTGTTGCGACCGAAGCAAAAAAATATGTCATTCAGATGGCATTTTCAACAACTATGTTTCATATAAACAACACGAAAAACTAGAACAACTTACTATATATAACGTGGACGAATGAATTTTTGGTCAAACACGTTGTAAATTTTAAACACAACACACTGACGCACAAAACCAGAGTGACTTCAAATTTTGAGAACAAGTAGTTATGAGTTACATTATATTACATTGACTATCGTCAGATGCCTGATAACTGATGACAACATTTGATCTTGTAGCGTTCCGGAAGCGTAAATCACTTTTCTATATTCGAAAAAAAAATCTTTATCTGGATGTTGTTTTCAATCTTCATTCAGACGGAGACAAATGTATTGCCGAAAGAAAGATCGAAGAAAGAAAGAATATGTAGTCTCATATTTAATATTTTTCGAGTTCCAGAAGTCTCTCGAAATTTTTTTATGTACAGATGAGCTAAAAATGTGTATTTGTATATAACAAAATCAGGGCACAACTAGAGTTGACAGAAAATATATAGTTTTGCTGTGCTGCGATAACTCCAAACGAAAAAGTTCTATTAAAAAAAGTACTAAAGAAAAAAATGTTCATTGCAATGAATCGTTGCATATGTATATTTTTTTGTTGAATCGTCATAAATTACAATTAAAAATGTTCTTTTTATGTTTCCAACACGGTCTCTTATCAATTCTCTCAACAGCACAACAGCTATACGACATCTTCAGTCCAATGATCCCATTTTTTAATAATTTTGTATAACGCTAGACCAGGACTCTCTGACGGTATCAATTGACGCTGACCATAAAGAGCATAATCCGAAGTTAATTTTTTTAATTTAACACCTTCTTCGATAAGTTTTTGTGCTGCATAAAGTTGTGCTTTTGGTGGTTCGATTTTATTAAAGTTTCCAATGAATGCAATGCAAATGCTATTCACATTGTAACCTTTTGTATGTGCACCTTGAACGTTCCATCCACGGCCCACATAAATGGCACCATCGCCACCAACTAAGAAATTATAAACAATGTCATCCCATCCTCGTGAATCGATGTGAAATGTTTGAATCATTCTAACACGATAACTGCACGATGCCTGTTAAGATCGCCAAATAAAATACATTTTTGAAATAAATCATGGTTGTGATAAATACCTGTGTCGTACAATTTTCGGTGGCTGTATATGCGATTATTACACGTTTTGCGGGCAAAGCAAGCAGTGCTAGCTCACGGTCTGGTGGTTGCGCAATCCATTCTGATCGAGAGATAAATCTTACCGCATGAATTTGATCTCTAATCGTCGATGATTCTGGCGTATTAGTTGTCCATGTGTCTAACCCATTAGTCGTCGATGTTTCAAACGTATTAATCATCGATATTTCTGACGTTCTGTATTCATGAAATAAAATTCCAATAATTGCCAAAAGCAAAACCAAAGTCAAAGTTAAGAGCAAACACTTCTTTTTAAATTTCTCTAAACAAAATGTATCTTTTGAATCTGAAATTCAACAAAATCAATTAAATTTTCAATAAAAAAAAAATTCAATTCAGTTTTACATAAATATTAAACTTACTTTTAACAACAGCTTCAGTTCTACTTGGTATCTCACCGTCGTCCGACATTTCGTTTTAATGATGTGTTTGCGAATGATTTTAATTCGTATGGTGCTGAATTTATAAAAATCACTCTCCGCATCCGCAGGATAGCTGAATGCGATTAATTTTGGATATTAACATAGATTCAAGCACACATATGCATCTCCACAGCATGCTATTCATATAAATTCGTCGCTCTCTTTCAGCTATCTTGCGGATGCGGAGAGCAATACAGAAAACACTCAGTGGGATCGAATGATAATACTCTGTTTCTGACTTTTCATATCTGTTTCGAAAAGAAATTTTAAATGCTGATTTGGGAATTTAATTATTATTGAAAAACTGAAGCACAGGCAAAAATCGAACGAAACAAAAATGATTAAACACTTAAAAAACAACAAAAATTATAAACAATGTAATAGTCAAGATAAAACAGTTATCGCCTGCTCTATTCGAGCCGTGACAGAATACATATATAGTTGTTCATCAGCCGAGTCGGGCCTTTCATTAACACTGTCATTTTTTGTAATGATAACTGATACGTAGTTAGTTCACGCTCAACTTAAAAGAGATGTTAAAATATTTTGCGTTAGACTTGCCATTGTTTCTGTTTTCAATCATTTGATTTTGGCAAAATATCAATTCAAATGGAGTCAATTTAGATAATATTTAGTATATTATTATTCAAACTGGTTTCGACACGGTCTTGGCCGATTCAATGTTCGATTGAAAATTATCTTACGACATATCTGAAATCATAAGATTCATACAATTTGCCACACCGCACATTAACAATTGGATGAAATTTGGCAACGAAAAAAGAGTGTATTATATTATTATTCAAAATAAAAACAAAAAACGACCAAAAAAGAGTAACATGTTCTTTTTGTTCCATTCCTTCAAGACAGTTCCAATCTTGATTTCGGATTCAGTTTTCATTATTGTTGTGCCATTGTTCATGTTGTTTCATCTGAATTCACTTTTCTTTCTCGGGCCATTCTTTGCTGAGGGTGAAGACAGAGCGATAAAAAGATATTGAGCAGAGATTGAACGAGAATGAGAGAATGTGAGTGTGTGTGTGTGTGTGCGCGCGGTGCTGGTGAGTTTTCCATTGAAATCAGCGAAATGAATAATGCACACAATTTGAATATTTTGTGCGTTCACGTCGCTCGAACGAAAATTGGACCTGCTGTGAAAAATAATTCTTTTTCGGTATTCTCTCTCTCTCTCTCGTTTTATCTCTTTTTCTGTCGTCTTGTACAGTGCTGCGACTCCGTCAGTTCTCATTTGTTTTGTATGCTATCGTTTATACGGTCAAGATAATAGAGGATGCACAAACAAAACGACTAAGTGACAGCATGTGGCCAAATAGTTTTAATGCATCGATTATTATTGTTGGTTGGTGTGTAGTTTTTTTTGCGCTCGCGCATACCTTGAGAACAACGGCGTACAGGTTGCGTTTGGAAACATTTTCCACACTTAACTTTTTTTTTCATTCTGGGATGAATCATTTGTTGTGTCAATTCGAGGTCTCTCTATTCCTTTTTATCAATCCACATGTACGATTCGAGCTAGTAAGAAATATATCGTGCTGGTGCTGCAGATTATCTGATGGATTGGGGTTTTAATTTCATTGCATCGATCATAATCATCGTCGTTGTCTTTAAACAATTCGATCGAAACGAAACATGGATCCAAAAATAAAAAAAATGCCAGAACCGAATTTCGATGCCAACGAAATGCACCAGAACCGAATTTCGATTTAAAAATCGAAATGAGAGAGAAAAAACCCACCGGAGGATGAGAGTGGGAAAAGAGAGTGTGAAAATTAAAATGATAAAATTAAGTCTTTGGATGGTAATATTAGATTAATAGCAATCAAGTGATATCGTATACACCACATTTTTTTCCCTTCATTCCCACCGCAAATCGAAATCGTTTACAAATTCATTGCAAGAAATGAAAATACATGTAAATTACATAATTTAACATGCAATCACGACGGAGTGCAATGGCAGTGGCTGGCTGATCGCTTTATTTCCATGCAATATGTTTCAATTGCAATATGTGGGCTATATTGAGCACACACAAACACCATTGCTACCTAAAGCAAACTAACACCTCTCACACTTCTCATATCAAATGCAATATATAAATCCAGTTGATTCACTTCGGATGGTATGTGTATAAATTATTTCGCATTCGTTTCATATGTACCATGCCTAATTGTTCACGATACTGCTGCGAGCAAGAATAATTTTTTTTGCTATTTTCCACACTTTGAAATGTCTGAGAGTCGAACAATTTCGATTTCATTTTAACCGAGGCAATATTTTTGTATCGATTTATTGTTTGTGGTTTTAGTTAATTTTCAACTTTTACTGGTTTTTTTTTTGAAGCTCAGATGCCTTGAAATTGACTCGAAATAAGTGGTGAACGAAAAAAACACATCCGTAAATAAACTAAAATGCCACAACTTCTGTGGCAATCAGATGCCATTTTTATAATTTGCACGAAAACAGACAATAATAAACAAAAGGGTTTTATTTTTTGAAATACTGTTCTTTTTTTTCTGGTTGGTGTTCGTTCAGGCATGGGAAAGTGTTGCGGCTACGAAAGATCGTTGCAAAACTCAAATTCAATGCAAAATGCGCATTTGTGTTTTTTTGCTCATCTCTGGTGTGTGTGGCCATTGATCGTTGAAATGGGCGGAATCTATCAAACGCCGATTTATCACTAAATGACAGTTTTACATTTTAATGCGTTCCCGTGTCCATTCGTTAGATATCGGTTTTGTGTGATTCGTTATGGGTCTCTCTGTGTAGTTCTCTCTTTTTTTATATTTATATATTAATGCCGTTGTTTTGGTTTTTGTTGTTGTTTTTTGCTCTTAAAATTTTGGTGTGCCTTTTTTTGCTATTCCATCATTCTTGGAAATATAAATTAGTCGAATATTTGCCATTTTAAGTGCCTCAAAAAGCATTTTGAACGTGTGCTCTTGTGTTTTATCATCTCATTTCAAATTCCGATTTTGGCGCAATAACATTGCTCTCGCACAACGATCCGCAACAACAACAACAACAAAAAGGAACTATAAAGAACAAAGAAAGAAAGCCAAAGCAGCTAAAAAACCAAAAACGTAAAATAAAATTCGAATGAAACCTTTTGGACCATACACAATCTGCGACTTTCGATTGATTTATTTTATTGCATTTCTATATGACTGAATATGCCTTCATTCGAAGATATATGGCTATTGATTTTGGATTTTGTCGATGAATTTGATTTCGAATTCACTTCTTCTTTACTTGATTTCCAAACTTCTCTTGTCTTGCGTATTTTTTTTTTCGATTCGAATGTCGTTTTGACGCTTTCATGTTTTAGTTGGATATGTCTCAACGGAGATGAGGATACATGTTGGTTTTTATTTTCGAGGGACCATTTCGAATGGAAAACATTTGGTGCTTTGCGACAGTTAAAATTGAACACCAAAAATATTCTGAATTTCCACACTTAAAGACAATAAAAAAAAAAAAAAACAAGAATCATATGTGTGTTCTAAGTCAATTAGATCAGACAATGTGAGATATATGGTGAAATCGGGCATTAAAATGGTCGAATCAAAAATAAATCAATGAACGTTGCAATGGCATTACAAAAACAACGAGACCAGAGATGAAGAAAAAACAATATTTGGTAGAGATGGAGTGAAGAGCGACTATCCTTCATGCCTGTTTCGATTTTGTAAATGCGTTGCGGATTGCACATAGATCACATCATGAATGACGATAAACGTTTTACGAAACGACCACAGATATGGAGAATTGTTTCAAAACGAAAACGACCATGTACCGTATGTATGATTATGTATAGTACGTGAGTGTGAGAGAGAGAAAGAGAGTGAGTGTATGTCAGTTGTATACGTTTAGCTATTTAAAGTTAATCAACAATACACATACTCTCTTTATATGCGAGAGAATAAAATGGTACTTAAAATGAACAAAAACAAAATCAAAATACGAAAAATATCATTAAATATGCGGCCGAAGCAATCATAGTTTTATTTGCGTTGGCGTTTAAGCACATCTCGAATTCGAGCGCATATTCGTTGTAAATATGTGAGTATACATAACCGTAAAAAAACCTTTCGAATAGATTTTTAACGTAGATCGAAGACGGTACGAATGCAATGATAACAACAAAATGAAAACAATGAACCGAACGAACAAAAACCCAACGAACATTGAATGAGAAACCATGTGAGTGAGATAGAGAGGGATATCGAGAAAAATAGACAGGCAACGACACAACACCGAACATAACAACAACAGAAAATTAATGCGTTGGTCTAAGTGCGATCGTTCTGGGTTCAGTGTGTGTTTTTTTTTGTCTTTATTTTTATGTTTATTGTCTGTATGCACAAGCCCATTCTATCTCTATCCGTTTAAATTTATAGACTGAACAAATTCATTAATCTTAAAAATGTAAATGCTTTTGCTAAACAATTTCAATGCATTAAAATGGTTGTGCGCCTTTTTTTCTTCTTTCAAACAAAAAAAAAATACATCGTATGTATTTCTTTCGACTTAACCGTTTGACTCGTGAAATTGGAATTGGTAATTGTGCAATTGGTGTTGATTTACGGACAAAATTTACCGCATTGGAAAAAAAAGGTAATCAGTCACCGTAGTTTCAATTAGCTATTCTTGGAAAGATCGTCGGATGGACTTCTTTTTTTTATTCTTTTTTGTTGTGTGTGTCTGGAACGTTGTTGTTTTAAATTATTTCATTTTTCTTCGTTTAAATGACATTCAAATAGGACGATACGTGGCACCAATTTCCAACGAAACTAGTCCATTCGATTAAATTTAATTTGATTGGAAATTGATTCCGGTTTATAGATTTCTTGTGAACCAGATCAAATGCGCACACACATCATTTATTTGTCTACTGCCAAAGTGCCCATATCAATATGTTATTTGAATAGCACACACACAGACATGAATATACAGCCACGCACACTCGCCATACTATTTAATACGATTATTATTATAACGAATGGGTTGTGCCGGCAAAATGTGGAACATGT